TTAGAGAAGAAGTGGCTCTGAGCAGGGTGTCTGTGCTGTCACTGCCTTATCAGAGCAGGTGAGGGACAGTGTGCTGTGTGCAGTGAATGGTCTCAGGTTTTGAACGCTGTATTTGTCTGAAAGCAAACACACTTGTTGCATAGAGTGCAATTGAAAACATCTTAATAAGTCAAAGGAAATATTTTTTTTCGTTATGCTTCTTATATTTCATGGAAAAGGCTGCTCACCCTGCTAAAATAAGTTCTTGAATATCGTGTCTTTTTACAGACTTGGTATTTTTGTCAGTTTTGGTAAATATTTGACACTTGTCTGTGGCCACCCATTTAATGTGAGCATTTTTCTTGCAGTTGTTGGATGTCAGAGTAGACATGCTATCAATGAGGATTTCCCCCTCTGTAGCTCAAGGCATAAGAGCTGACTTCCAAATATAGAAGACTGTGCTGAAAGGGGAAAACGTCCTTTCTGTGAGGAACATCCCAGTCTGTGAGGAGCCACCTGAAAAACTTTGTTGAAAGACTCCTGGGTGCCGCAGTCCTTTGGAGTTCTGGGGTGCTCTCTCGGCACCTTGTGCACATCTGTTTGCAAGATACAGAGCTGTAACTGGCTGTGTATGCTTCCACTTGCATAGACAGTAGTGTTTGGTGCTTGCAATGTGTCTTCTAGTAGGTATTTTAGAAATGCTTTTGTACATGTTTTGATAACTTCCTTTTTCTTTTCCAGGCCTCCAGTAGCGCAGGGAATCTGGGTGTGCTTATTCCTGTTATTGCTGTGGTGAGTATCCAATAGTTGGGTTGTTGCAAACAGAATAATTTTTCTCACATATATCAAATGCCGGTGCTATTTCATGGTCAAATGGTTTCACTAACAACTAGTGCAGAAGCAAGTATCTGAGAGAAATATAGTAGTATTGTAAAATAATATTTCTTGCTCTGAGAGGGTGTAAACATTTATTTAATAATGACATCTCTCTTGAAATAATTACTCTTTTGTGATTGAGAGTTAGATTGTTGCTAGTCATGAATTCAAGAGATTCATGAGCTAAATAATACCACAGGGGATGCTTCTTTGAATAGTGTTTGGCTTGCAATATAATAAACAGCATGTATGTGTGCCTGAGGAGAAAAGCGAAAAACAAAAGTTGATAGAAGCAGAGTTAAAAATCATAGAATCATAGAATGACCCGGGTTGGAAGGGACCTCAAGGATCATGTCGCTCCAACCCCCTTGCCTGGCAGGGCCACCAAACATACACATTTACTAGATCAGGTTGCCCAGGGCCCCGTCCAACCTGGCCTAAATAAATCTTAGCTTGGCTGCACAGTGAATTCTGTGTCTTAAAAGGAAAAAAAAAAAAAAAGGAATCATTGAGAAAGGAGGGAGGAAGTGTCCTGTGTGTTTTCTGAAACTAGAGCTGGCTGTCATGCTGAAAACATTTTAGGAAATGTGCAAGGACACTGATGTCCATTCTGCACTCATTTATTTTGATGTATATCTGTTTTTGGTTTTGGATGACAACTTTTTCTGGGTGAAAAAGATTTTTTTTAAACGAAGTGTAACTACTAATTCAGAAATTGGTGTGCAACCGTTCTAGATCTCCAACAGAAAATTTGATATGTCCAAGCTGGGTTTCCAGGTTGGTAGGACCAGTTGCCTAACTGCTGTAGCTACTGCAAAAAGTGTCTAAAAGAGCCACAGGCAAATGTAGCAGAGAACAAAAAAAATCATGTCACTTTGTCCCATCCTGAAGTCGAATTCTTCTGTGAAATTTTTCCTGCACAGCTAGTGGGACAGAAGGGGAAAATGTATTGCATGCCTGCAGCATGCTTGTAACTTGCTCAGACTGCACATCCATTACCAAGCAGAAAAAAATGTTCATTTCATACTCTGCACTCGCAGACTTCTTTACTGAAGCTTTTCAAAGAGAAGAGCCTAAAATTAGCACTGGTTAAAGATCGAAGAACTGTTCCTTTCCTTCCCCTGTCTCTTCCACCAGTTTCCAGCATAAGCTCTTCTGAATTCACCAGTGATCGCAAGGGCCAGATCCTAGCTTTACAGAAATGTGTTTATAAATATCTTGGATCGCTGTTATTCAATAGGTGCTCAGGTTTTGCATGAAATAACTAGTCCTGTGTTGAGAGAGACGTTCTAATGGGTAGTTCTTTCAGTAGTGCCAGCAGTGATTTGGGTGAAAGCAAGGTCATTCCTTGCACGTTAAGAAAAGATTAGTGCTTGTTAGAGACTTAATGCAAAAGTTCTGAAAGTATTTTTCTGTTTCAAATTTTTATTGATGATATATTTGTTCTGAATAGCTGGTGATAACTACATTTTTCTTAACCAATGTGACCTTTAAATGGAGTGAGATAGTGCCAGAATCTGTAGCAAGAGTTAATGGTTACATCAGGGTTGTTGAAGCAAATATTTGACTTTCTTGCACAATGGATGAAGATCATGAGTTTTGAGCAGTAGCTGATTTGCTTTTCTTCTTGAGCTCTTTCTCTTGAATAATGCCTGTTACTTAGGTCTCAAAAAAACCAATATTTCAGATGCCCCAGCTCATTTAATTATTGATAAAATAATGAAATTTAAGGCATGGATATTTAATCTTTTGAATATGCTTTCATTTTTGAATATAGATGTAAAATGTGTTTATGAATGTTAATGATTTCTGTTGTGAACCTTCAGTACTGAAAATTGTCCTCCACATGATGGGCTTATAAGTAAGCACAATGTGAGACAGGAACAGAGAAATGTCTGAGTTTCCTATTCAGTATCAGCTCTTCATCATCCTTCATCATCTAATACTGATATTTTACTGGCTTTCATGTTAAAGAGCTTTGTGTATAGGGCAAATAATTGTAGTAGATTCAAAATCACAAATGGCAGGTTATAAAAGCAAAATGAAATCGATGAGTTAATATTGGAAAAACACCTTTTTAAGATAATTGCTGATCCTTAAAATAACTCTTGATTTATAGTTTAATTTGCATCTTTTTGCTAACATAAGACAAATTTCTAATATTAATATAATTAGGTGGATACAATATTTGATACAGCAAATAATCATAAAAATACCCTCACTGATTGTGAGGCACGTTTTTTTTAAAAGGTGTGATGCAAAGGAAGGGATGCAAAGGTGAGCGTGTTCATTGGCTTTAGTAACTCGAATGTAGGATGCAACTCTGTTCCTTGTGCAAGTCTGCTGAATGTTAAATGATGGAAGCAAAAGAAAGAATATAGACACCTATTCTTTTTTAAGTTCGGTTGTGTACAATACTGAGGAGAGACTTGGGCTTCTGAAACTGATTGGTTATTTAGGATTTCCTTATTCCTATTTATTATAAATAGGCATCCTAGCACAAATTTAGAGCTAAACTTCAAGAATCCAGGTAGTCTAAATGTTTTATTGATTACATTTTATACACTGACATAGAACACAAAGTTTAAGTTACTTTGTGATTTATTTTTTTAATACACTCGTATTGATACATGTCATTAACCACTTTAAATTGCAGTCAAATTATCTACTGCTGTAAGTCCATTCATGTGAAACTACCTGTAGATAATATATTTTCTTTTGATACCAGTGGCTTTTTTACTAGCTAATATGACAATGACTTTTCCTTTATGATGCTGATATATTAACGTGTAAGTACACAGCCCACATAGAACAGCGTGTTGGAGGTCTTCTCTGCTTTTAGGACTTGGCTGGGTTGGCAACTCTCCCCATGAACAGAAGGCAACTGGTACGATGTTCGTAGATCAGAAACAAAAAGGGGCGGTCAACAATAAAGCGAATCTGAGTAGAAAGGGGCATGAACCCCACGTTGGTTATTGCTCCAGCCTCTGTGCCTTCCTCATTCACAGTTATTGTGCCTTGATGATTGAACTGTTTAAACAAACAAAAAAGGAAAACAAACAAGAAATTGAGGATCTTGTAAGTATGCTCAAATGATGTACTCACAGCCTTCCCCCCCTCCATTTCACACACGTGGCTCCCTTGTGACACTCTTGCCTGTAGCTGCTCTGTGGCAGCAATCCTTTGGTTTTGGTTTGTGAATCAGCTTGTTCCTGACTGACCACAATGCTTATAGTGCCTTTGGCATCTGGTTAGACATGTGCCTCGTTATATGAATAGACAATGCAGAGAAACCCACATCCCTTCTATGTCCTCCAGGAAAGATGAGAAAAAATGATTTAGCTTGCTGTGAATTATTCTTACTGTGTTGCCATGTTTTCAGGTGATACAGTTTAATCAGAAAGGAGATGAAAAGAGGAGAGGAGTAAATACCCTGTCAATAGTGACTTTCTCATCCGATATACCGGAGTAGTCGCCTTTTTCAGTGAACAGTTGTTCTATTCCCATGGATCTCAGATAACCAATCAAGTTATAACTCTTCTCCAGCTTAAATTTAGGCAGAACCACTTCTCTTGTTCTAGTAAAAATAAAAACAAAAATGAAAAATCATTGAGATACGTATTTGCATGACTCCTTTGCTTTAAATATCTGTTGTGGTTTGGTTTTTTTGCTGTCTTCAGCAGGCAGGACAGAGAACTATACAGGACTGTTTACTGTACTTTCAAAACTTGGGCATCATTAGTTTTAAGCTGTGTTTTAAAATATTAGTCCCCCTCCCAAGACTTTTAGTTTGTCAACATTCTACATATGCTGACTTACATTATTTATGTGTGTAAGATATATGGCTTTGGGCAGTTCAGTATGTGGTTTGATATGCTTGGAATAAATGTTGAACTGTCAGATTTTCTGAAGGACTAAACTGGAGATTTGTCACTTATTGTTTACAATAGAAATAGGCTGGCTTTCTGAATAGCGCATCAAATCATCTCTTTATCTTTTTGTCAAGTCTGAAGACAGATAACACCTAGTATGTTGTTTCGCACAAGAGAGGCTATATAATTTTTTCTGTCCCGTAATTGTGGTGTCCATTGTTGGTTACTGTGCCTTTATACTGCAGATACATTGAAATGCAGAGCGCTGAAATGAACATAGGCTGCTTTCCATATAATCGCTGTTATTCTGCACAAATAATCTGCTATTATCGTACTCCTGTTTTTCCTCCTTATTGTAAACTTTATCACTAAGAACTTTTTCTTTAAATCTACAACATTAAGTACCTAATAGAAAGAATTTTTGAACTCCATTAGAATTTTCCACCTCAATCATCCCTGATTTCTTGACAGCATTTAAATTTTGAGAGATCACTGGTCCTGATTTTTGATTCAATTAGTCCATATTTTGAAGTTTTTGTTAAGGTTTAATGTTTTTATAAAAATATCATACGTTATCGTCTGTGCTCTTTGCTTACCCTTGCCAATCTCATCAAGAAAATACATTAAGACTTCAACAGGAGGTACTTTCAGCAGCTACCTGTTTGTCATGCTCTTCTGCCATTTTTCCACCACTTGAGGTGTTATCTGCTTTTCCAGGGCTTTCATGCCAGAGAGTTTGTGTGGAAGTACAATCAGCATACTGATGTTCCCCACGAACGGGAGCTGGATCACACCGCAGTCCAGCTCAGGGTCTGCAGCAGCGAGGAAGTTCCCTTTAGTCTGCATCATAGGAACCTTTATTGTTTGCTTCTCGTTCAGTCGGAAACTTCTCTTTGTTGTCATTTCCACTGGAAACTTATTCTCCCAAGTTCCTGTTAATACAATGTAGAAGACAGATAAACAAAAAA